CAATCAAAAATGTCAACAGATATTGCTAAATTTCACTGGAGGAAAAACTGCATGCAGTTGAGAACCATTGCTTGGAGTAAAGTAGGCAAGATTCTGCACAACTTTCAAAACCAGTTGTGGATGATTGTTTTTGTCCCATCTATATAGTGAGCAGAATTCACATAAATGTTTTTGTTATGAGTAAGAACATTTTTCTTATTTAAATAAAACATCATCCTTCTTTCCATATAGTGGAGGGTCTATCTTGTATGATTATCTTCCTTCAAATTCCCCACTGGATGGGCTGGGAAGGTAAAGCCATGGCACTACATCAGATTGGGGTATGAGGGCAGATTTATTTCCAACACTGATATTTCTTTGATATCTTATGGTTTCCCCATGAAAATTCATACTGATGTATCTTCTTCCTGGGACTTTGAAAGCTCCATCATATGATTAAATATTCCAAGTAGAAAAGAATGGGCTTTGGGTGCACTTCAAGCTATTGGTGGTGTCTTGTATTCAGGTATTCAGATATCAGGCATTTTAAATTTAGGGGTTAATTTTTACTACCCAGCTAAAATTTCTTTTATTCTATATATTTTTTCTTTTGCTTCTACATTTTTTAAAAGCATACATGTTTTTCTTTTGCTTCTACATTTTTTAAAAGTAACCACCTTTTAAAACAAGGGGAAATATTTCAGAATCCTTAAATACTCAGCAAGAAAAAGAATACTATCAGCAAAAGGGAACATGTTAAAACATTTTCCCAATAAAACTGAGCAAACACAATAGCAAGCACTTGAAACAAGCTGTCTAAGAGTGTTGGTTCTGGTGGGTATTTAATTCTGTATTCTGTTAAAATCATTTTGGAGACAGTAGGATCTAGACCTGTTATTCTATAGTCATTCTCCAGACCCATACCATAGAGAATGACATTATATTAAATGCTAATTTTCATTTTTATAATCTAATGAGCTCCTTCTGAGAAGGCTACTGTTTCACCAGCACATCAGAGATATCCAGGATGGCCAGTGCAGAATGAAAGTTGAGGTCACGCACCTGAAGCAGATGTTGCTGTTTCAGTTATTCGTTGATGTTCTCCAGACTCTGACAAGCATCCACTCATTATTAGGCAACTGAAGCTTATTGGAGTTAGTATACATTATGCAACACTCTAGATGTAAGTATGAAAGGAATCTCAATATTTGCTGGAGGGGGGTACCAGGGATTGAACTCAGGGGCACTCCACCACTGAGCCATATCCCCAGCCCTATTTGTATTTTATTTAGAGACAGCGTCTCACTGAGTTGCTTAGTGCCTCGTTTTGGCTGAGGCTGGCTTTGAACTCACAATCTTCCCGCCTCAGCCTTGAGATTATAGGAATGTGTCACCATGCCTGGCGGGATCCCAATATTTTAATGAGAAAGCAATCATGAGCTGAAATAGGCTTTTTTTTTTTTAATTAGGGAAGACAAATAATATTTAACTGAAAGTCCCTTGCGCTTATAGGTAACAAACTTACACAGAACACTTCAGAGCTAGATGACATGGAAAATCCCAAAGAAATTCTTTTCATCAGGTGCAACAACTTCTGTTAAGAACTGAGTTTTAAAGAAAGAAACTGAAGAAGACTTTAGAAGATAAAAATATCTCCCATATTTTTGGATAGGCAGAATTAATATTGTTAAAATAGCCACATGGCCCCAAATGCCATACAGATTTAATACAATTCCTATTAAAATACCAATGATATTTTTCATAGAAATAGAAAAAGCAATGATGAAATTTATTTGGAAAACTAAGAGGCCCAGAATAGCCAAAGCAATCCTCAGCAAGAAAAGTGAAGCAAGAGTTATCACAATATCAGACTATAAATTATACTACAGAGCTCTAATAACAAAACAGCATGGTATTGGTACCAAAACAGAGATGAAGATCAATGGAAAAGAACAGAAGACACAGAGACAAACCTACATAAATATGGTTATCTCATAGTAGAAGAAGGTGTCATAAACACACACTGGAGAAAAGGTAACCTCTTCAACCAGTGATACTGGGAAAACTGGAAATCCATATGTAGCAGAATGAAATTAAACCCTTATGTCTCACTCTGCATGAAATTTAATTCAAAGCAGATCAAGGACCTAGGCATTAGATCAGAGACACTGCACCTACTAAATGAAAATATAGGCCCAACCCTCCACCATGTAGGCTTAGGAAATGACTTTCTCAATAAGACTTCTAAAGTGCAGGAAGTAAAATCAAGAATCAATAAATGGGATGGTATCAAACTAAAAAGCTTCTTCACAGCAAAGGAAACAATCAAGAATGTGAAGAGAGTGCCTACAGAGTGGGAGAAAAATCTTTGCCACCTGCACCTCAGATAGAGCATTAATCTTCAGGATATATAAAGAACTCAAAAAACTTAAACACCAACAAAATGAAAGAAAACCCAAATAACCCAATCAATAAATGGGCAAAGAAACTGAACAGACACTTAACAGAAGAAGAAATATGAACAGTCAACACATACATGAAGAAATATTCAACATCTCTTAGAGTTAGAGAAATGCAAATTAAAACTACACTGAGATTCCATCTCTTTTTAGGCAATTATCAAGAATACAAGTAACAACAAATGTTGGTGAGGATATGAGGAAACAGGTACCCTCATATATTGTTGAAGGGACTGAAAATTGGTGCAACCACTCTGGAAAACAGTATAGAGATTCCTTAGAAAACTCAGAATGAAACCAACATTTGATCCAGTTATCCTACTCCTTGGCATATACCCAAAGAACTTAAAATTAGCATACTATAGTGATGTAGCCACATCAATGTTTACAGCAGCTCAATTCACAATACGTAAGCTATGAAACCAAGCTAGGTGCCCTTCAACAGATGAGTGGATAAAGAAAATGTGGTATATATACAAAATGAAATATTACTTAGTCATAAAAAATGACTTTATGACTTTTGCAGGTAAATGGATGGATCTGGAGACTGTAATGCTAATGAAATGCTAATGAAATGAATTAAGCCAATCCCCAAAGGCAGGATGTTCTCTCTGATATGCAGATGCTAACACACTATAAGGTATATGGGGCATTTAGAATAGAAGTTCATTGTTTTAGATAAAGGGAAAGGAGTGGGTATGGTAATAGGAAAAACAGTGGATTAGATTGAACATAGCTTTCCTATGTTCATATACAAATAGAATAGATGACTGGTAAAACTCCACATCACATTTATTCACAAGAGTGGGACCAAGATAGAGTAAGTTCTCCTCTATGTATATATAATATGTCAAAATATACTTTACTGCCATGTAAATCTAAAGAGAATTATAAAAGATTACTTATAAAAAAGAGAACTGAGTTTTGAGGGGACTAGCAAGCTGTGTCCTTCTTGGCCCCTTTCACTCCTTGTACTGTAGGAAGGGAGAATCTAGGACAGAATAATGTGATTTTACCATTGTCCTCCATGTGTGCAGACCTTTCTTGGCAAAGAAGCGTTCAAATTGCTATGGGGATACATTGGGGACTCAGGCAGGGACATAACTCTGTCTTACTCCCGGTGACACCATTGGTTGCAAAGGAACTGGATATATTATGTGGGATATATTAAAGCGTTTCCCCTCCAAATGTGCCCTTTGAGGATGAAACTACTCTAGGAAGAACTCCAACTTCAGATGAGATGCTATTTGATATTAGAGTTGTTTATATACTAGAACCACAGGGCATAATACTACTAAGTTGTTCTTAAAAAGACAGCCACCTTATTTATTCACCCACTATTAGAAAACGCTCTAAGTATTCATCAGTCTTCTGAAAGCACACAGACACACACAGTAACATTTATGTTACAGAATAATTAGGAACTGCCAGAATTGAGAGCTACATTATTAATCTGCTTTGCTGGTTTGAAACCATCAGAGTTACAGTTTTAAATTTTACTTATATAAACTCAATGCAGACTTAAAACTCACATTTTGAAGGTTATAAAAATCAGTTGATGGCTAAAATACAAACTCAGACAGTAAACTGTCACTAATATGAATGCACTAACATTAAACCACATTGTTACTGGCGTTTGTAAGCCCATTTCAATCTCTAGTTTTTGATGGGAAAATATTCCTCTATTCATTCTCTTGATAACACGGTTTTTGAAATGGTACTTATGAAAAGGTAAATAGCATTTTGCAAGCTCTTCTGGAGTAGTAAAGGGCAATTAACAAACAAAAGATAACTCAACAAGTCAGGACTATAATCTGGGAATGTGAAAAGACTTCTATTTTCTAAGACACTACATATTTGTCTTACTCAAAGACACAACAGTGCAGATATGCCACTCATATTTTTAAAAAATTCTCTTTTCACTTCTGGAATGTTTAAGTAGGTATGAAACAAGATGTAACAGTAGTAGATCAAAGTCATGGATATGAATCTTTTCAATGCAATATATAAGGTGCTTATGGATCCCACTGTTTTACATTTTTAAAGGTGATTATGTTACAATTATTTTAGTTGCCATGTTTAGCATTATATTGTGTCTATCATTGCCTGGACTATTTTATTTACTTATTTATTTTTACTGGGGATTGAACCCAGGGATGCTTTACCACTGAGCTACATCCACAGTCATTTTTATTTTATTTTTCTAAATTTTGAGACGGGGTCTTGGTAAGTTACTGAGTTTGGCCATAAACTTGAGATCTTTCTGCCTCAGTTTCCCAAGTCACTTAGATTCTGGTTATGTACATTCATGCCCAGCTTCGACTATTTTACTGTCTACATGGGAGAGCAGTTTAACATCTGGGGGTTTACACACACACACACACACACACCCAACAGTAAGCAGGATGTGGGCCTGGAAGACCTTCCTGTTTGTTTGTTTCAGCCATATTTCCAGCATTTAGCAAATATTTAACAATCTCAATAAACATCTAATGGATAGTAAATCTTCTGCACATTCTTTAAAACCAGAATCAACCTTATTTTCTTTTATTGTCTCTTTAGGCCTGGAAACTTCTCTTGGGACAAAAGAGGACCAAGAAGACAGGGATGCAGGCCACCCTGTTGTGTGAGAGGAGCCGGATGGGGGAAACTCAGACAGGACCTAGCTGTGGCTTTGCAGCTAATTCCTGGGGTAGTCCTTAACTGCTCTGGGCTTCAATTTCCTCAAATGAAAAATTGATGGGTCTCAGGTAGATGACCTGAAACATCCTTCCTGATGCTTTAAATTCTAGGATTCTAACAGATGGTAAATCTAACCAAGATATTACTTGGAATAGTTGTACCTAGCTCAGAATCAGGGAACAAGAAGGATATGTAAAGAATGTTTAAAAACTGAAAGGAAGAAAGAATAAATAATTGTTCTAAGAATGCATTAATGCTGCCTGTGCATCCATAGGATTTTCCACCAAAGAAAGGAGCTCTTCTCTATAGATATAGATTTTTGCAATTAAAACAAAGTCAGAGAATGTTTTTTGATAGTTTAATTTCAATTATATAAGTTATTCTTACTCTTGGTATTTAAAAGGTGTGATTTAAAAATTCAGAATGCATTTATATACTCCCTTAAGAAGTGCTAATAGGGTCACTATAGGTGGGGAAATTTTTATTTTGCATCTTAAGCCCTTTTGTAAGTTATAAATAATCATTTCATAAATATTCTTCAGGAGAAAAAAGAAAGGGATAAATTCCTGTCTTAACAAAACCTCAGCTCCTAGTGTTGATTCTAGATAACATTTAGCCCCCAAATTCTATTAGTTTACAACTTCAGACATTATCATTTCCAGAATTACCCTCATATCAGTAAAGCAGGATTTTACCTAAATAGGTCTCAGAACTATAAGGTGCTAGATCTTTGAAATTCTTTTTGAACAGAAATAATACTAATTTTAGTATTAACCTAAACATAAACTTATTTGACAATCAGAAAAGATCTATATATTTTCAAATAACTTACTATTCAGAAAATATTTTAAATGAAAAATTCTAACATTATCTAACACATGTATTCTTCTTATAGGATTAAATCAGAAAGTTCTTTAAGAATGGAATTTTGCTGCTACTTAACCAAAAATATGTCAGTGGTAAGTTATTTAAACTCTTGGAACCCTAGTTATTGCATTTGAATAACAAAGGTAACACCAGGCTTATTTGAGGGATTATTATGAATTTTAAAAAAGATAATGTGTACGGAGAATCTGCTTTGGTACTTGACACAGAGGGCTAGGGCCCTCTGTCAGGGAAGATTCCCTTCCCTGAATGGAGCTCTCCTTTTCTTGTAATGGCTGAATACAGTGTTAGAGTCTTAACCACCCTGACAGCATTCAAGCCTCTCTCCAAACAGGAACCCCCATACTTCATTCATACCAGAAAGAAGACCTCACTGTCCTTGGTACAGGATTTCCAAAAGTGAAAAAAGACCAGGCATTTGTCCTTGATGAAAAATTCAGAAGGAAGACAGACAGATAGCATGAGGAATTACAGTCTGATGCTGTGAATGCTGAATGAAGATTGCTTTTATTTTTGTTGTCTACACTAGGAGCTCGTCTCCTAAAAAGGTCTATACTCAAAGGACTTAAAATTAGCATACTATAGTAACACAGCCACATCAATGTTTATATCAGCTCAATTCACAATAGCTAAACTGTGGAAGCAACCTAGATGCCCTTCAATAGATGAATGGATGAAGAAAATGTGGTATATATGTATGCAATGGAATATTACTCAGCATTAAAAGAGAATAAAATCATGGCATTTGCAGGTAAATGGATGGAGTTGGACAATATCATGCTAAGTGAAGTAAGCTAAACCCCCAAATCAAAAGCCAAATGTTCTCTCTGATAAGTGGATGCTGATCCATAATGGGGGAGGGCATGGGAAAAATGGAGAAACTTTGATTAGGCAAGGGGGAGGGTGCACGGGGACAGGAAAGATGGTGCAATGAGATGAACATCATTACCCTAGGTACATGTATGACTGCACATATGGTGTGATGCTACATCGTGTATAACCAGAGAAATGAAAAGTTGTGCTGCAATTGTGTACAATGGACCCAAATGCATTCGGCCATCATATATACCTAATTAAAATAAATAAATAAATTATTATTTTTTTATTTTTTTAAAAAGGGCCCAAAGGGCTATGTGAATTCAGAGAGAGGAGTGATAACTGTTGATCCAGGAGGGCTTGTCAATGATTTCAGTGAAAGGGCAACAGCAACAGTTGTAATGGATTTTGAAGGATGACCAGCACATTGTGAGTCACTGGAGAGCACGTGGTAGTGAGGGGGATTTGGGGAGGAGTGGGGCTTGGAGGAGAGTCGAGGCAGAAGAACCAGCTTGTGTAAAGTAAAGGCATGAAGAACAAGGCTTAGGAAAGGTGCAAACATTCTGGGAAAGATCAGCTGATGAGGAGCAGAGGCAGTGACCCTGTATTATGACATTCTAAGGAACACTGGACATAGATTTTTCTTTTTCTTTCTTTTTTTGGTAACTGGGGATTGAACCCAGGGGCACTCAACCACAGAGGCTTATCCCCAGCCCTATTCTTTGTATCTTATTTTAGAGACAGGATCTCACTGAGTTGCTTAGGGCCTCACTAAGTTGGTGAGGCTGGTTTTGAATTTATGATTCTCTTAACTCAGCTTCCTGAGCCTTTGGGGATTATAGGTGTGCACCGCCAGGCCCGGCTTTAGCCATGGAACTTTTAAAACTTGAATTTCAGAACAAGACAACAAAGAATGAAAATGATGCAATCTGAATGTAAATTAGTAAGTTGATTTGGGCAGTCATGTTTTAAAAGGAAAAAAAGGTTAAGAACACTGAGAAGGAGGTACTTGTGTTCAAAGCAAGGCTGTTTAAGATTTGCCTAAGGTCCATTAATGTGATAGAACTTTTCTTTACCATAAAAAAACAATGCTTCTGTGTTTTAAAGTTATTTGGTGTTTACATTACACGAGAGGCAGAGGAGCATAATCATTCAGAGTTTAGGCTCTGAAGCCAGAGTGTCTGGATTGGAATACTCACCCCCACTAACTGAACCTTAGATAGGTTAGTTAGCCAACCTCGATGAGTCTCCAGTTTCCTCCTTAAATAAGGAGTTAAAATGTGCACGTTGTCAGGTGTGTTAATACAAAATGAAGTACATGTGTATACAGAAGGATGTCTGGCGTAAATGAGAACTCCGTAGACATCAGCCCATCTTGCTTTGTGCCTTTGCCCTCATTCAGCAGCCATTTTCTTTAGAAAGTCCCTACAGTATTCAAGCTCTAGGCTGACTTCCAGGGATACAAAGATAGATACAAAATGACTTTTGTCTTTACAATCATTTGTGGTTTCTCACATCACACTAGAGGGTTCAGCAATAGTAGTGCAGACTTATATCCTAGTTAAAACACTTTTCTGAACTGTTTGGGCAACAGTGATTTAAAAATCTCTCCCCACAACATTGTTTATTATTATTATAACAGCCAACTCCTCTCTTCTCCCTTCTCTTCTTCCCCAAAATTGGAGAATATCATGTTAAGTGAAATGTTACATCTCTGCAGCCTGAACTATCTTTGATGGCAGGTATTTCCTGTGATTCCAGGCAACAGTGAGCTTATTTTAGTAGCTTCCTCTACTTATGTGCACCGAATCTTCCAAAGATGAGTATTTCCACCATTGCCTTAGAGGTCTCTTTGCTAATTCATTTGACTTATGTGTTAATGTAGCATCTATTATTGGTGGGTGAATTTTTCTTTCCCAGTGGTATTTTTTTTCCCCAAAAATCATACCTTCAGAAAGTCTTATTTCCGTAAGCTGGAGACAAATGTTAATGATTAGACTTTTCAGAGCTATACCAGACTAAGGAGAAGACTTGCTTGGAAAACATCAGTTATTCGCTGCCTTTTAAACCACAGCATAAAGCTTTTCATCTCTGTATCTCTTAGCTGCAGGTTTATGACGGGGTCCAAGTAATTCTGTTCTGTTCATGATGACATTTGCTCATTGTCTGAAAGGATTCTAAATTAGGTATTGCAGATTCAACATTAATTTTGGTTGAATAGTTGAAAATTGTTGGAGAAGGGACACCATGTCCTTTTGAGTATAACCACAGTACATTAAAATGGACAGATGAGCAGTTGTGATAGCCTCGAAGGAAAAAAATTGAAAAGGAAAAATGTCTGCATACAAATGAGAAGGAAATGAAAACAGCAAGGCACTTACATTTAAAATAACTAAGGAAAGTACCAAAATGATTACATGAAAAACTACTTTAATACCAAGGAAGCCCCTTAGAATGAATGGGACCATTGAAACAGGACAAATTGTTTATCTGTTAAAAAAGATAAGACACTGGCATCCTGACCACTTTATACCTCTATTCAGTATTTATTATAGGAGATGTGTGAGATGTTCAGAGTGTAAGGCATCTTCAAATAGTAAACACCCATTCTTAGAAGACAGAGAGAACGGATCCCTCAGCTAATGGTGAAAGGTCCATAATAAAATAAGAAGCTCTAGGTTTAAATGTAAATGCCAAATGGATGGAATTGGAGAATATCATGTTAAGTGAAATAAGCCAATCCCCCCCAAACCAAAGGCCAGATGTTCTCTCTGATATGCAGATACTAACTCACAATAAGAGGGGAGGAGAAAAGAATAGATGTTCATTGGATTAGAATGAAGGGAAGAGAGGGAGAAGGGGACTAGGAAAGACAGTAGAAAGAATCAGACATAACTTCTCTATGTTCATATATGAGTACACCACAGTGTAACTCCACATAATGTAAACCACAGAATGGGAAGTTATACCCCATGTATGTATGATATGTCAAAATGTACTCTATTGTCATGTATATCTAAACAGAACGAATAAAAACTTGAAAAGAAGAAATAATAAATAAAAATAAACAAATTTAAGTATAAAAATAAAAAAGTTCCAACAACAAAAAAATATGAACGCCAGAATGAGACTGGTGTCCCATGAGAATTTCTTGTATTATACACATTAGTTTATGAAATGTGCACATTAAAAATCAAAAATCATATTTAGGATATACCTAAAACTTTAAAAATATTCCTATTAATTTGAAAAGCCAAATGAGAAGGGTGACAATGATTTTGTTAAGAGACAAAAATTAATGTTACAAAATTGTACAGCTTAGAATACAGTTTTAAATATAGTAAATTAAAAACTCTTAAGGATAAAAATAATCCAGTCTTTAAGAGAATGAGAAATAAGTATTTATAAAGACTGCTATCCAAAATATACAAAGAACTCCCAAGATTCAACAATAAGAGAATAAAGAACCCAATTAAAAGGTAGGCCAAAGACCTGAATGGACACCTCATCAAAGAAGATATACAGATGGCAAAAAAGAAAAAGAAAATATGCTCAACATTAGATGTCATTAGGGAATTGATAATTAAAACAACTATCCACCTATTAGATTGACCAAACTCCAAAACACAGACAACACCAAATGCTGGCAAGGATGTGGAGCAAGAGGATCATTTATTATTGGTGAAGATAAAAAAAAAAAAAGGTACAACCACTTTGCAAGAGAGTTCATCAGTTTCTTACAAAACTATATGTCTTCTTATTATACAATCAAGTGATTATACTCCTTGGTATTTACCTAAATGACTTGCAAAGTTATGTCTACACAAAAACCTACACAGATGTTTACAGCAGCTTTATTCATAATTACCAAAACATGAGAGCAATAAAATGTCTTTCAGTAGGTCAACAGATAAATAAAATGAGGCACATCCAGAAAACAGAGTATTATTCAGCACTTGAGTGATCAAGTCATAAAAATAGGGAGTGAATTTAATTCCATATTACTGAGTGAATGAAGCCAATCTGAAAAGGACATACACTGTATGATTTCAATTGTATGGAATTTTGGAAAAAGAAAACTATGGAGGCATCAAAAAGACATTGGTTTCCAAGGCTTAGTGGAGAGGAGGACTTTCAGGCAGTGAAACTACTTCATATGATATTTTAATGGTGGATACGTGTTGTTGTACATTTGTTATCCACAGAATGTACACAAAGAATGAACTCCAATGTAGACTATGTAGTTGGGTGATAACAGTGTGTCAATGTAAGCTCACAGATTGTAATAATAAATGTGCCACTCTGGTGGGATCCAGATAGTGGGGGAGGCTATATATATTTGAGGACAGGGAGTATATGGGAAATGTCTGTAACTTTCCCTCAATTTACTGTGAACAATAAATTGTACCCAAAATTAAAGTTTATCAATTAAAAAAAGAAATGTTCCATTGCTGTTTAAACCACTGTATGATTCCATCAGATAAAGTTCTGTAATAGGCAAAACTAATCAATGGTGATATGAACTAGGATAGTGATTTCCTCTGGGGGAATCAGCTACAAAAAGGCATAAATAGAACATCTGGAAGTATTGGTGAAGTTCTGCTTTTTGATTTGATTGACAGTAATCACATTGTGAAAATTCACAGAAATACATGTTTCCTGGTATCATGTGTGTGTTATATCTCAATGTCTTTTTTAAAAAAAATTTTTTTTAGTTGTAGATGAACACAATACTTTTATTTTTATGTGGTGCTGGGGATCGAACCCAGTGCCTCACGCATGCTAGGCAAGTGCTCTACCACTGAGCCCCAGCCCCAGCCCC